CTTCTTATTATTTTTTTCCCCTAAATATAAATAGAAATCATAAGCTTCTTCAAAATTAAGTATAACGGAATACATATTTTTCTATAAACCTAATTAATAACATTGTTGTTAACATTGCCAATAGATAAAATTAAATAAAATTGAATTTTTGAACGCAATTAAGCTCCTGCATTTTGAAAGATAAACTTTAATTATAATAGAATTAAAAATGATCTGATTTCCAAGCGTATTGCATTCGAAACTCATTGAACTAGAACTAAATACATGTTTGCAAACTAGTTAAACTAGAAATTTTCTTGCATATTTAAATATAAATGATTTCCTTCCCCCGTAATTTTAATTATAATTAAATTGTATTTGACATTACGCATGCTTAAACAATTAAAATTAAAGGAGAAAATGAATTTTTGAAGATCTAATTATGCAACTAAATCCTATCTGTAGCAGTTCAAGCCATTTCAAAAGACATAACCTCAAAATAAAGCATCATGTAAGAATTTTAAATAACTAAGTTTATGGCCAAGTTTCTTAACTAAATTAAGAATTCTGAAACTCGAAACACTAATAAAATAGAAGAACACAGAGAAAAAAACTGATCTAAGTGAACTAATTCTATGCATAACTTCTATCTGAATCACTATAACTGGAACAAATCATAAATTGTATAGCAGTCAGGCAATAATTTTTCTGAATATTCAAGTAGTTAATTGTACTTATATAATATGTACATAGAGTTAAACGTGTTTATAACTAAATTAAAAATACAATGGAAAAAAATAATTGATTTAAATGTTATAATTATGCCCATAGTTTGTGTTGGGTATTTAAAGTAGAATGCATCATAGAGCATTGAAGAAACAATTTTTCTTCCCAGTTAATTGATTTAAAAGTATATTTTAAATAACAATTTGGCATTTTAAATTTCAGTTTAACATTTTAAAACCTGAAAAATTATTTAAGTAAGGCGTTAAAACTATGTTAAAGGTAATAATTATGTACTAAATCAAGCTAGTAAGCCTATGTATATAATGTATATATATTTATGTTTATAAAATAAAGGATCAAGGGAATAAAAATAACTAAATATAGATATTTTTTCATCATATTTTCACTTTCACGTCATGTTACTGGATATAGCTTGAAAGACCTTGAAGTGGAAAGAAGTCAAATAAAATTTTTAAGTCTCCCACTTGCATTAAAGTCATAAACAAGCACTAGATGGCGATGAAACACTGGAAAAAACTAACTGAAAACAACAGTAATAGCATTTACAAATCCTGGTAAACCCAATCGAAATTTCAAAAGAATATTTTCTATAAAAATTTTGAATTTTTTGAATATTTTTATATATATTTTTCTTTTTTTTTTTGTAACATNGATTTCAGTTACAGTTAATTATAATTAAAGATTTTAATTTGAATTAAGCACGATTGTAAGATTGCCGTAGACAATAAGCGCTGTAGCATTGACTTTACTACATTTTTAAGGTTAAAATATAACAAATACATTTTCCTATATCTTCCATCATATTCGGAATGTAGAACATTTAACAGCATACAGAAATTATTATAATTCCTTACAAAGTGAACTATGTATACCCGGAAGAAGAATAATGTTGATAGTGAAATTTAAGGAAGTTCAGCACATGTTTTGAACTCCTTATCATTAAAAAAATCACTCAGCAGTATCTCTTGGAGAGATAAGAGAAGAAAGTGTAAACTATATTTCTGTACGATTCCCTGATAAAGATCGCAGAACGTTGACCTAATTTTTAAATGCGGCTCGTCATTCGAACGTACACCCTTTTTGATGTTGACGCCATTGAAGAAAAAATAAAGAATAATTCAAATATTTAGATCTTTTATTTGGAAATTTGTATTTATAATAAATTAAAAAAGAAATACACGCACACATACATATATATATACACAGTCAAACCTGCCAACAGCGGCCATTTTCAGGAACTTGTTTTTTTTGGAAAACAGCATACAAAATAACCTCCAAATAGCGTCCATTTTCTATGTTCCTGCCAGTGACCGTTCTTCGGAGGTTTGCCTGTCTATGTATACAGTAAAACCTGTGTAAACCGGACTCGCACTATACCGAATATTTTTCCATTTTGGCAGGTTTTTTAATACAGAAAATCGCTGTGTTTCCAATAGTTTTTCCGGTTTAGACAGGTTTTCGTTTTAGATAGGTTTTATAGTACGTATAATTGAATATTTTATATGTAAAAAAAGCTAGTAAAAACAGTTTAAATGTATTTTTGAAAAATATAACGATCTATTTCAATTGTAAAGTGAAATTAATATTTTCTAATTACAGTTAAAATTGAAATCGAGTTGAATTTCAATTTCAATTTTAACTGCAATTAGAAAAAAACTTAAATTTCAAATTTTTAAATTTAAATTTTCATTTGTTTTAAGCTCATTGTAACTACAAAAGTATGTTGATCATTCAACAAAAAAGTATGTTGAAATCCCATCAAAAGTTTATTTCTGGATATAATTTTCCTTTACATTATTACATATTTTATTGTTTAAAACGTATTTTCCTCCTCATATTTACGATTAAACTTAATTACAGTAAAGAAAATATTTTAAATATCTAATTTAAATTGACACTTTCTTTTCCTTTAATCGCGCTTTAACTATGCCTGTAAACTTTACACCAAATGCAGTTTTAATCGAGAATTTTAATTGTAATTAAATTATATTTGAATATTTTAATTGTAATTAAATTATATTTGAATATTTTAATTGTAATTAAATTATATTTGAATATTTTAATTGTAATTAAATTATATTTGAAAATTTTAATTATAATCAATAGTTTTAATTATAATTACAATTAAATATCAGAGTAATTGAAGATATTAATCGTAATAAACTATAATCAACAATTGTAAATTGTCCTTAACGGTAACCGATCTTTTTATAATTTTAATTAAAACAACTGAAATTGATATTTAAATTTTAATTACAAGAAAACATCGTTATTTTAAATTTAAAATATCATTTTTATTTTATTTTATTATTATTATTTTTTTAAACAATTTCAGCCAGAAAACGAAACAATTCATTCCATTCTTTGTCATTAAATATTTATTTAAGATATAGTTTGCGATTCACTTTATGCAATAACCATTTATTTAGAGCTACACAGGAATTAAATTACAGTTAAAAATAATCACTTGAACTTCTTATTATTTTTTTCCCCTAAATATAAATAGAAATCATAAGCTTCTTCAAAATTAAGTATAACGGAATACATATTTTTCTATAAACCTAATTAATAACATTGTTGTTAACATTGCCAATAGATAAAATTAAATAAAATTGAATTTTTGAACGCAATTAAGCTCCTGCATTTTGAAAGATAAACTTTAATTATAATAGAATTAAAAATGATCTGATTTCCAAGCGTATTGCATTCGAAACTCATTGAACTAGAACTAAATACATGTTTGCAAACTAGTTAAACTAGAAATTTTCTTGCATATTTAAATATAAATGATTTCCTTCCCCCGTAATTTTAATTATAATTAAATTGTATTTGACATTACGCATGCTTAAACAATTAAAATTAAAGGAGAAAATGAATTTTTGAAGATCTAATTATGCAACTAAATCCTATCTGTAGCAGTTCAAGCCATTTCAAAAGACATAACCTCAAAATAAAGCATCATGTAAGAATTTTAAATAACTAAGTTTATGGCCAAGTTTCTTAACTAAATTAAGAATTCTGAAACTCGAAACACTAATAAAATAGAAGAATACAGAGAAAAAAACTGATCTAAGTGAACTAATTCTATGCATAACTTCTATCTGAATCACTATAACTGGAACAAATCATAAATTGTATAGCAGTCAGGCAATAATTTTTCTGAATATTCAAGTAGTTAATTGTACTTATATAATATGTACATAGAGTTAAACGTGTTTATAACTAAATTAAAAATACAATGGAAAAAAATAATTGATTTAAATGTTATAATTATGCCCATAGTTTGTGTTGGGTATTTAAAGTAGAATGCATCATAGAGCATTGAAGAAACAATTTTTCTTCCCAGTTAATTGATTTAAAAGTATATTTTAAATAACAATTTGGCATTTTAAATTTCAGTTTAACATTTTAAAACCTGAAAAATTATTTAAGTAAGGCGTTAAAACTATGTTAAAGGTAATAATTATGTACTAAATCAAGCTAGTAAGCCTATGTATATAATGTATATATATTTATGTTTATAAAATAAAGGATCAAGGGAATAAAAATAACTAAATATAGATATTTTTTCATCATATTTTCACTTTCACGTCATGTTACTGGATATAGCTTGAAAGACCTTGAAGTGGAAAGAAGTCAAATAAAATTTTTAAATCTCCCACTTGCATTAAAGTCATAAACAAGCACTAGATGGCGATGAAACACTGGAAAAAACTAACTGAAAACAACAGTAATAGCATTTACAAATCCTGGTAAACCCAATCGAAATTTCAAAAGAATATTTTCTATAAAAATTTTGAATTTTTTGAATATTTTTATATATATTTTTCTTTTTTTTTTTGTAAGATTTTCCAATTCAGGAAAGAAGAAAAACACATTAAATTAGGTTAAAATAATAATAATAAAAGTGTACAGCACGAGTTAACAGAGAATAGGATTTTTATCGCTGCATCACATAAACATTAAAAAAAAAAAAAAAACAAAGTTTCCTGGAAGTCTCACTTCATTCGATAAAAACATCGAACAGATGGGAGATAAATTTAAACGCAGAAATTAAATTAATTAAAATTAATCATAATTAAACAGAGAATAAAACATAATTAAAACCCTTTAAAATTAAACATATTTGCAGTATAAACAGGTAACTTGTGACAAGAGCGTAACAGGTTGGGTGTTTCAAAGTTAACTTTTCAGGTATTTACGTACGCAAAATTTAATTAAGTAAGGCTTTTATTTATTTATTTATTTAGTTTAATTAAGTAAAATTAACTAACCTGGTGAATAACTCGCCATCTTTCTTGATGTAGTGATGTTAACTGTGTGTCCTTGATTTTCCACACTTCAATTTATCGACGTAACGATACTTTTATGCTGTATGTTTCTTACTATACAATGGCTGCTCCTTTCGATCCACGTGTGTATGTGGAATTCTGTAACAGTACCAATTTTCGACAAAGTACACCCTTTTTGATGTTGACGCCATTGAAGAAAAAATAAAGAATAATTCAAATATTTAGATCTTTTATTTGGAAATTTGTATTTATAATAAATAAAAAAGAAATACACGCACACATACATATATATATACACAGTCAAACCTGCCAACAGCGGCCATTTTCAGGAACTTGTTTTTTTTGGAAAACAGCATACAAAATAACCTCCAAATAGCGTCCATTTTCTATGTTCCTGCCAGTGACCGTTCTTCGGAGGTTTGCCTGTCTATGTATACAGTAAAACCTGTGTAAACCGGACTCGCACTATACCGAATATTTTTCCATTTTGGCAGGTTTTTTAATACAGAAAATCGCTGTGTTTCCAATAGTTTTTCCGGTTTAGACAGGTTTTCGTTTTAGATAGGTTTTATAGTACGTATAATTGAATATTTTATATGTAAAAAAAGCTAGTAAAAACAGTTTAAATGTATTTTTGAAAAATATAACGATCTATTTCAATTGTAAAGTGAAATTAATATTTTCTAATTACAGTTAAAATTGAAATCGAGTTGAATTTCAATTTCAATTTTAACTGCAATTAGAAAAAAACTTAAATTTCAAATTTTTAAATTTAAATTTTCATTTGTTTTAAGCTCATTGTAACTACAAAAGTATGTTGATCATTCAACAAAAAAGTATGTTGAAATCCCATCAAAAGTTTATTTCTGGATATAATTTTCCTTTACATTATTACATATTTTATTGTTTAAAACGTATTTTCCTCCTCATATTTACGATTAAACTTAATTACAGTAAAGAAAATATTTTAAATATCTAATTTAAATTGACACTTTCTTTTCCTTTAATCGCGCTTTAACTATGCCTGTAAACTTTACACCAAATGCAGTTTTAATCGAGAATTTTAATTGTAATTAAATTATATTTGAATATTTTAATTGTAATTAAATTATATTTGAATATTTTAATTGTAATTAAATTATATTTGAATATTTTAATTGTAATTAAATTATATTTGAATATTTTAATTGTAATTAAATTATATTTGAAAATTTTAATTATAATCAATAGTTTTAATTATAATTACAATTAAATATCAGAGTAATTGAAGATATTAATCGTAATAAACTATAATCAACAATTGTAAATTGTCCTTAACGGTAACCGATCTTTTTATAATTTTAATTAAAACAACTGAAATTGATATTTAAATTTTAATTACAAGGAAACATCGTTATTTTAAATTTAAAATATCATTTTTATTTTATTTTATTATTATTATTTTTTTAAACAATTTCAGCCAGAAAACGAAACAATTCATTCCATTCTTTGTCATTAAATATTTATTTAAGATATAGTTTGCGATTCACTTTATGCAATAACCATTTATTTAGAGCTACACAGGAATTAAATTACAGTTAAAAATAATCACTTGAACTTCTTATTATTTTTTTCCCCTAAATATAAATAGAAATCATAAGCTTCTTCAAAATTAAGTATAACGGAATACATATTTTTCTATAAACCTAATTAATAACATTGTTGTTAACATTGCCAATAGATAAAATTAAATAAAATTGAATTTTTGAACGCAATTAAGCTCCTGCATTTTGAAAGATAAACTTTAATTATAATAGAATTAAAAATGATCTGATTTCCAAGCGTATTGCATTCGAAACTCATTGAACTAGAACTAAATACATGTTTGCAAACTAGTTAAACTAGAAATTTTCTTGCATATTTAAATATAAATGATTTCCTTCCCCCGTAATTTTAATTATAATTAAATTGTATTTGACATTACGCATGCTTAAACAATTAAAATTAAAGGAGAAAATGAATTTTTGAAGATCTAATTATGCAACTAAATCCTATCTGTAGCAGTTCAAGCCATTTCAAAAGACATAACCTCAAAATAAAGCATCATGTAAGAATTTTAAATAACTAAGTTTATGGCCAAGTTTCTTAACTAAATTAAGAATTCTGAAACTCGAAACACTAATAAAATAGAAGAACACAGAGAAAAAAACTGATCTAAGTGAACTAATTCTATGCATAACTTCTATCTGAATCACTATAACTGGAACAAATCATAAATTGTATAGCAGTCAGGCAATAATTTTTCTGAATATTCAAGTAGTTAATTGTACTTATATAATATGTACATAGAGTTAAACGTGTTTATAACTAAATTAAAAATACAATGGAAAAAAATAATTGATTTAAATGTTATAATTATGCCCATAGTTTGTGTTGGGTATTTAAAGTAGAATGCATCATAGAGCATTGAAGAAACAATTTTTCTTCCCAGTTAATTGATTTAAAAGTATATTTTAAATAACAATTTGGCATTTTAAATTTCAGTTTAACATTTTAAAACCTGAAAAATTATTTAAGTAAGGCGTTAAAACTATGTTAAAGGTAATAATTATGTACTAAATCAAGCTAGTAAGCCTATGTATATAATGTATATATATTTATGTTTATAAAATAAAGGATCANGCACTTAAAAGGTTTTGATACCCCATATACTGTACATGTAATTGGAAATATAAATAATAATAAAACATAAAATGAATAATACCAGCAAAATACTTTAAGTTTTTTCATTTATTGTTGGGACTGTGGTTCAGCCACACCATTTGCAGTTAAAGCATAGTCTACAGAAAGGGATCCCCGCAATAAATGAATGCACCATACAATCAATGGTAAATTGGGCAACAAAATATGCCTGCGGTACCCCCTTTCCTTAACGCCCCTTATGCTTATTTTGCCTAACGTTAATTCGGCTATTGTTGCCCGAATAAAATCATATTAAATTTCAGTTACTTCAGTTAAATTAACTACAAACTGAATTATAATTCGACATTAAGAGCCGTTCATTACTTAATAAAACTATTATTACTAGTACTTCTAATGTATTCATAATATTACTTTTATTAAGTGGTGAAGAGTTCTTAATTTTGACTTATTATATTTGATTATTGTATTTCATTTTAAACTTACAAATTTAAAATTCTCTTATTTATTTTTTATTATTTTTTTAAACTTTTCATTTAAAAATTGTTGTAAAATTAAAACTCTTTTATTTTATTCTATTAAAAAAAAAAGTAGATTTATAATTTATTTAAATTTAATATTAATTAATATAAAT